AAACTTCCTCAATCACTGTCTGCATAGTTATGTGCAAATTAAGAGCTGATTCGCTTTTGGATCACATACAATAACTAATTTCAGTTCTTAGTATGTCTTCATCAAATTTATATTATTGGTTTTTATTTGAGTAATAATAAACTTATATGGTAATACATATGCATAGCGATCTCTCCACAAACTTTCTCAGTGGCTCCATACCTCCATCTTTGGGGAATTTGTCGTCTCTTGAATATCTGTAAGTATCATGCAATCATAGTCTCTTCAGCATGATATAGTTAATGTAAGTATCATCTTCAGTGTCAAATAAATTCTTTTTCCATTGCTGATGCAAGTTTTGTGCTCTTATTCCTGTGGGTGTTTATATGTATTTTATTAATATTGACTTTTTTTCAGAAACATCCATGTCCAGTTTTTAAAGATTCTCATTTTCTTTCTAATCAAGTATTTAGATTTCATGCTTCAAAACTAAATTTATTATTTCTAATATAGTTAAAAGCAAACTATCCATAATCAAATTTTTTAAAAAAAAAAAAAGCAAATGGCACTAACCAAAACTAATTATAGGAGAAACATCTTGGATATTTGGGTTTGATTTTATACCATTGCTGTTCTTTTAAAAAATAATATATAATGGTAAGAAAAAAAAGCATTAATAATCCATTGTCAGAATACACAAGCCCACGCACACACAAATCTAACATTTTTTTTTTCCTAAAATCACTTCTTTTAAATTATAATCCATTAAATACTTAGATTCCATCGATAAGTTCCAAAAACCCAATAGTTAAAATTTCATTTTCATTCGGAGAATAAAGTGGTTAGGACTACATAATTATATTACAATGGTGAAAATTTGAGTTAAGAACTCATATTTATTTCATTATAAGAAGAAGTTACTGAATAGACAATTGATAGATTAAACTTGTAGTTGTAATAATTACGATTTTTTAATAGTATTTTTGGTGAAACATTTTCAAGTAAAATTAGTTTTGTTAGAAATGAAAATAAGGGCAAGCCGTTTGGGGACTTGATACTTATAAATGTTCATGTCAAGGTGTTAATGGTCACAAAAATTAACTTCTGAGTTCTGTTTGGTTCATTTCTCTTATGTAATTTGGATAAAAGCCTTGTTTTGCTGTCTGCATGGTTTTGAGCAAAGAGCTTCTTAGCTTTTGGATCATATATAATAACTAATTTCAGCTCTTAGTGTATATTCATAAAATTTAAATTATCGGTTCTTATTTGAGTAATAATGAACTTATATGGTAATACATATGCATAGCCGTCTCTCGCGAAACTTCCTCAATGGCTCCATACCTTCATTTTTGGGGAATTTGCCGTTCCTCAAATATCTGTACGTGTCATCCAATCACAGTTTTTTCAGTATCATATAATGTGAATTAAATTCTTTTTCTATTGCTAATCGATGCAAGCTTTGTGCTCTTATTCTTGTGGGTGTTTTCAGGAGTTTGTGGTGTAATATGTTATCAGGTCAAATCCCAAAAGAATTGGGCAACCTCTCTAATCTCCGAGTGATGTATAGAAACTCGCTCGCTCGCTCTTTCGTTCTGCTTGAATTTCCGTTTAACTTATTGAGTTTTGTTTGGTTCCTTATCTCTTATTTAATTAGGAACTTGGCCTTCAATGAACTCACTGGTCAGCTTCCACCAGAACTTGGAAGATTGGGATCTCTATATGCTTTGTAAGTTTCAAAAAGAAGCATAATAATATCATACCACCTTGTAAAACCACGGAAGATAGTAAGAGGAGAAATAAAATAGAAAAAGGGTGGATTACAATCCTTTTGATTTGTTGTTGTAGAGAGTTGAGCTCCAACAATTTGAGTGGAGACTTGCAGGGAAATTGCTCCCACTTTACTTCGGATCAATTGGGGTGGTTGTAAGTGCAACTCATCATGTTATTTCAACCAACAATCTGTTTAATTATTGTTCCAAGGAAAAGCAACTAACTATGGCTGCAGTGGCGTAGGTGGGAACCGTTTGACCGGTCAAATACCAAGGTTCATTGCGAATTGGACTCAACTCTATTACCTGTAAGAAATTACTTGTGCTTTCTGTAATATTATTGGACTGAGAAACTGTCGATGATCGAAGGATATCATTCAATAATTGGTGTTCTTGTGTACTGATGACAGGTCCCTCTCCGGGAATGATTTTGAAGGAGAGCTGCCTCTTGAACTTCTTTTTAACATGTCAAATCTCGAATACTTGTAAGTGTTCTATAATTTTAACACTTACAAGAAATAAATGCATTTTTTTATTCTGGATGGTTTTTCTTCCAGGTTTGTTAGTGATGTAAGAAGCTCGGCCGGTTTCCCTTTCCCAAAATATGCAAATATGACGGGAATAAGATACCTGTGAGTTTTTCCTTCCTTTGCTTTTCTTTAAAGCTCACACTCCAAAATCACATAAATAACTATCAAGGCTTTAATTAATAAAACTTAGTTATTAAACCCCCAAATACATGCCAAAATATATTCTTGAAATTTCATGTGAAATAGATACGATTTTATCATATGCATATTTAAAAAAATATTTAATTCTTTTTTTGTTTTTTAACATTCAAAAAACATAAAAGAAAATACCCACAAAACACACACTCCCAACCACACATTCAATGTTTACTCACCCACTCCCAGTTTCAAGTTTCCAAATGGTGATGGGGCTGTTTGGTCAGCTGTCAGAGATCGGGAGAGGAAGATGAGGAAGTGCAGTGGGCGGCCTTTGTGGTTGTGGTTGGGGAGCTGGAAGGTTGATGTTGTGGCCGGGGGGAGAATGGGCTTGGGTTCCGTGAGAGGGAGGGGAGACCTGGTTCGGTCGGCGGTGGAGAAGGAGAAGGAGAGGTTGAAACAACCAGCGAGAGGGGAGAGTCAGGGTGAACGGCTCTGCCCTCTTTTGGTCTTGGCGAGCTGGCGGCTAGTTCAGGAGGGAAGGTTTGGTTAGGGAGAAGAAGATGGGGAAGGCTGTGGCTTGGACATGGAGAGCGGCAGCCGGAGGAGGGGAGCGGATTAGGATTTTTTTTTTTTGTGGTTTCTTAATTTATTGTTATTGTGCGTTGAGTGACTCTTATTTATAAATAGAATATTGTTAGGTCTCAATTTTTCTTCAATTGTTTTTTAATTTTAAGTATTTTTTTTTTAAAAAAAACAAGTAATACCACTCAATAAAAAAATTAATTATTTTAAAAAAAATAATGGGTTAAACTTTGAAAATTTAAATTATTTTGAGAAAAGATTAAAAATGTTAAAAACAATGTTAATATATCAAAAACATATTTTTTTGAGTTTTTTTTTTTCTTAAAGTATTAGGTTAAAAATTAGATAACAATAATATAAATTCAAATTGAATAATAAAAACAATATACACTTAGAATTATATTTGTCTGGGAGCGTTACTGTTGTAGAATTTGGATTATGACCGATCTTTCACATAAATATATTTTAGGCCTATTTTTCTTTATTTGATCTTGAGCTTTTTTTATGAGCTATTACATGCTGTGAAGACTAGTAGTATGATCTTGAGTATTTTTTATGAGCTATAGTAAATTATCCTGGATGTTGGCATAACAGAATCACGAAGTCACAATATTTATGCACGTGACTCTTAATGATATGGATGTATTGGATAAATCCAAACACCAACTTCTTCAATGCTTTGTGTAGGATGATAAGGAATTGCTCAATAAGTGGTAAAATCCCCCCGTACATTGGTGATTGGTCATCGTTAAAATACCTGTAAGTTTCATTCCCTCTTTTGTAAAAGATTTGTAGTCCTGTCTAAGATTTGATTTGATAGATTGTTTTTTGATTAATAGTACCACTTCATTATCATTGAAGATTAAAAACCTTTTAAAAGGATGACCCGATGGCGCTTTGGATTATCAACCTAATTAAGAATAATCCTGTTGTAAAAAACTTGTATATATGAAACTACTCTCACGTGTGGTGTGATGCAGTAAAAGAAGAACCTTTCCCATACACTTAATTCGTTCTCATTCTAGAATTTTCCACTTTAAGTGAAAATATCAAGTTGTCAAAAAATAAAAATAAAAAGTCAATAGCGAGCTTGAATATTTTAACCTAAAAACTAAAAACAAATCAAATCAAACTTAACTTTCCATTATTTTTTTATGAAATTATTAAGGATAACGATTAATTGCTTTCATTTCTTTTACCCTGCAGAGACTTGAGCTTTAACAACTTAACGGGTCGAATACCAGATTCCATGAAAAACCTGAATTTGACTAAGATGTATGCAAAAGAACTCGATCAGTCCATCTTATAATAAGTTCGTTTTTCCACTCTATGAAAAAACAAGTGATGGTTTTCATATCGCTTTGTTTTGTTCAGGTTTCTCACGAGAAATATGCTTAGTGGCACACTACCTCCCTGGCTTCCTCATAAAATTGAGGACAAGGCGTATGTTATGGCTTTGTGCTCTTTGCTCAGATTGGTTGTTTTCCCTTTTGTAGAATGCCTCAATAAAATCTTGATATGTTTATTTGAAACAAAAAATGTTGCAGGGACTTGTCATATAATGATTTTGAAATTCCAATTGATGGTCCGAAGAAAGAAGGAAAGCTGAACATGTAATAACGGCAACTTCATTTTCTTCTTCCTTTTGTTTCACTTGCAAGAATATTATTGTCTATGAAATCCCAAATTCTGATCATTTTCTATCATGTGCACCAACTGCTTGCATGTTGTTCCTACTCAAGCAGTCAACCAAGGTATGGTAATATCCTCCATATGGTGCAATTAATGTAGAACAAATAATCCTGAGCTATTTCTTACAAATGTTGTTTGCTATTTCTAGGAATTCTATGCGTGATACAGATAAATGTCGGCGAAAACCGAAGTGTAAGTTCTGTTGAGAAGCTCTATAATTTTGCGCAGGACAGATTTCCTGTACTGATTATCATTTTTTGCAGACGATTCCATATATATAAATTGTGGAGGAGGAGACACAGTTATTGATGGGAAAGTGTTCGAAGCAGACGATTCAACATCAAATTACTATATAGCACCAAAAGAAAATTGGGCTTATTCTTGTTCTGGAGACTTTGGTTCGGAAAATAACGGTTCCAGTCATTACATAAAAAACGGAATTTGTGGTTCTGCTGAGACACAGTTATACAATTCAAGTCGCCTCTGCCCTCTTTCTCTGACATATTATGGCTTCTGTTTATTTAAAGGAAATTACACTGTGACACTTTACTTCGCTGAAACTGTTTACCAAAGTGATGAAGATTATTCGAATTTAGGGAAACGTGTTTTTGATGTATATATACAGGTAACCGCTATATTTTTCTGTAGCTTCTTTCAATAATTCCCATCGTTCAACATCCACTGTTTGATACAGGGGCAGAGAGAACTAAAAGACTTCAACATAAAAGAAATGGTCAGCGGCACCAATAAGACATGGAATGCAAATTTCACAGCATATGTCGGAGATGATCATCTATTGACTATCCACTTTTTCTGGGCCGGAAAAGGATCTTTCCAGGTGCCAGGTATTTCCTATTCAAGTACTGCTGCCCTGTCTCTGAATGGACCCCTTGTGTCAGGCATTTCCGTAACTGCAAGTAAGAATTGCGTGCTCTTAATTTTGTTGAGCAAAGATTTCTGCTACCCTTTATCTGGATAAATAATTTTTTCTTTCTGTCTTCCACTATTTGTATCCAGACTTCAAAGTTGGCACGGGACTATCTCCTTCACAAATTGCAGGGATTACTGCAGGTTCAGTATTTGCTCCTCTACTTCTGTTGGCTTTCATGTGGAAAATGGGCTGGCTGCGGAAAAGCGAGCTGGATGGTACCTCTCCATGCTAATCTAAAATCATTATGCACCATACACTACCTTAAGAATTCTTATTTTGATGTTTTCTTCAAATAGAAATAACCATTGAGGTCCAAGGTGATGGAAAATCTTTCACCCTCAAACAAATAATCGATGCTACTCGAAAATTTAGCCCCAAAATGGAGATTGGCAGGGGACGCTTTGGAATAGTATACACGGTCAGATTTTCTTTTCTGAAACAAATTTTCCTCAACATGCACTTTTTTCTTTCAGAGTTCTGGTAAATTGATTTCACGTGTATACAGGCTGAATTGCCGAATGAGATAAAATTAGCAGTGAAGAAGATTTCTCCTCAATCAAAGCAACATGGAAAAGATGAATTACAAAGGGAAATCTTCAACCTGAAATCTTTGCATCATGAGAATCTTGTTCAATTGTTGGATGGCTATTCTATTAAAGACCTGCATCTGCTAGTGTATGACTACATGCATAAAGGCTCCCTTCACCATGCGTTGTTTGGTAATACTGCCATCACCCGATTTTCATCCTGCTCTTTCGGTTCTCAAGTTTTATCTTAATTTTCACCTAATGCATTGCCTTGTGAAATTCATATAATTGTTGAGAACTAAAACACGTGCAGGAGTAATAGAATTCCGTTACATGATGTTTGTGAGAGAAAATTAGCAGTGATGAAGATTTCTCCTCGTAATTCAAAGCAACAAGGAAAAGATGAATTACAAGGGGAAATCTCCAAACTGAAATCTTTGGATCATGAGAATCTTGTTCAATTATTGGGTGGCTATTCTAATAAAGACCTGCATCTGCTAGTAAATGAATATATGCAGAAAGGCTCCCTTCAACGTGCGTTGTTCGGTAATGCTGCCATCGACCAATTTTCATCCTGCTCTTTCGCTTCTCAAAGTTTTATCTTAATTTTCACCTAATGCATTGCCTTGTGAAATTCATATAATTGTCGAGAACTATAACACAGGAGTAAATAGAATTCAGTCACTCAATGTTTGCGAGAGCTTCTAATTGTATATTTAAATCTTCTGTTAGTACAAGGATAGTGTACTTGCAAATATCAATAACTTAATATCAATAATCTTGATTTGTAGAACCAAATTCCACGACAAAACTTGATTGGAAAGCTAGATTTGATATCTGTCTGGGAATAGCAAGAGGTTTGAGGTATTTACATGAAGAGAAAAGGTTCAAGATTGTTCATGGAAACATAAAACCTAGTAATATTATGCTTGATAACTCTCTTACGGCGAAGTTGTCTGACTTTGGATTGGCAACGCTTTGTGATGAGGAAGATCCATTTATGACCATCAAAGCAAAAGGGTCGCGGTAAGTATTATGATCATTGATTGACAACTACTTTCATTCTTTTAATTAAGAGCTAACCAATAAATAATCTCTTATTGCAGAGTTTACATGGCACCTGAGTATTCAATGGGAAAAGCAATAACTGTTAAAGCTGATGTTTACAGTTTCGGAGTTGTCCTACTCGAAATAATTAGCGGGAAAGTTAGTGCAGATTACACACCAAACCAAGAAGCTGAGTTTCTTCTTGATAAAGTAAGTGGACCAGACAGGATAAATCCTCTTAGTTTTCTTTTTTATTCATAGTTATTATCAAACCAAACATGTTCTGTCAACATCAAATGACTTGGTATATGTGTTACATTCATCAACTCATAAAAAGCAAAAGCTAATACTTAGATACCAAAAAACAATTAGAATAAAAAATGATATTATTATTCGATAATTTAATATATGTATTATATTCAACTTATATAAAGTTTATATAATTATATAACAAGAGACATATGTAAATAAAATAAAATAAATTATAGAAAATATGGTTCATCTTTTTTAATTGGATGATTGAAATAATTTTTTGATTGTTTAGAGTTATTTAATTTCTTGATATTTTTTTATTGCTTAGAAAATAATAAGTAATATTTACTTGATTATTTGCTTAATGCCCGGAGCTAAGCTATTCTTGCTTTTCAAATGCAGGCTGGTGTTTTGCACGATAAGGGAAGAATCCTTGAATTGGTTGACAAGAAATTAGCATCCAGTTACAACAGAAAGCAGGCTCTCACTGTTTTGCTGTTAGCAATGAAGTGTGTTAATCTGTCTCCTACTCTCAGGCCTAAAATGTCCGAAGTCGTCAGTGTACTTGAAGGTGAGAAAAGAATCGATGAGATTTCTGAAGGTGATACTCCATCAGCAAAAATTGGAGGACTGTGCGGTGCGTGTTCCATGGTGTTGGACATTGAGCCAATTTCTTAGCCAATTGGCAATGTTAAGTTTGGTGATGAAAACCTTCTGCCTCTTTTTTATTTTGTAATTATTTGGGTCTAATAATGTGGTGGTGACAAGACACCATTGATGTGTGCGTGAGAGACTCCATGAGAAAATATGTGTGTTTGCTTTGTCTGCTATGATTTATTTGTGCTGTTATGGCTGCTGGTAATTCCGTGAATTGAATAAGATTATCATTAGCCATCCTTTCTTTATATATAGCCTATATAAAGGATAATTTTATGATATTATCTACTTTACAAACTCATTAGATTTATTTAAGCTTTTTCTAGCTATGGTTTGCTACTTCATTTCCTTCCCTTATAGAGAAATTGCTGATCAGAATGACGCAAATTACCCCAATTTCTAAAGCTCATTTAGAAAAGCCCCTTGTGGGCGGGTATTTTTTATGTTGGAGGATTTTTAGAAATAAATTATTTGCTTTCTTAGTTATTTTTATTTTTATTTTATTTAAAGAATTATTTTTTATGATATTTTAATATATTTTTTCAATTTTATTTTGGAATTATTCAGTTTAATCTATTTTTATTTTTTTTACTTAGTTTAGGCCTAAAACTAGTATAAGCAAAGTTTGTTAGCTTTTATTTCAGGATATTAATAAAAAAGAAAATAATAGATGCTCATTGTGGGTAGATAATTTTGTTACCATGAAACGACACGCACTAACCCTCTCGCTCCTCTCCATGGCCATAACCTTCGTGGTAATCCACGCGGTACTACAGGATATATATACACTCTAGGAGGCACTGCTGTTTCTTGGAGTTCTACCTTACAAAAGATAGTCGCTCTTTCAACGACAAAAGCTGAATATGTTGTAGTTTCAGAATCTGCAAAAGAAATAGTATGGCTACAGAATTTCCTGAAAGAATTGGGCAAGATGAATAGAAAGGGTACTTTGTATAGCGACAGTCAGAGTGCAATCTTCCTTGCCAAGAATCCAGCATTTCACTCCAGAACTAAACACATACAGATCAAATATCACTTCATCCGACAATTGCTCGACGATAAGCAACTGTTACTTGAAAAGATCTATGGAAGCAAGAATCCAGCTGACATGTTAACCAAAGGAGTTACTCTTGATAAACTGAAGTTGTGTAAAGCTTCAGTTGGTCTTCAAGATTAAAAGACAGATCTAGCGCCATTTGTGTCCAAGTGGGAGATTGTTATGTATGGACACAAATAGTTGTTGGCAGCCATGTGGTTGCAATGCAAGAGTTAATGGTAGGTGCTTAAACAAAGAAAAAGGTGGCCATCATAATTGACCAAAGGAAGAAAATTGTCTCCCATATCAGCTTTAAATAGAGGGTGTCATTGTTAGCTGAGGATAACACGAAATAGAGAAAAACACAGAGAGAGCTAGAGTGAGAGTCGAGTTGAGTAGAGAAGTTTTTCTTCTCCTCCTTGTTTTGTTGTTTGTATTGTTTTTAAGCTTGATTAATACAAACCAATAGCTCCATGGAGTAGGCAAGTTGTCGAACCATGTAAATTGATGTGTGTTTGAATGCTTGAATGTCCTAACAACTAGTATTAGAGCTTGTTCTTGAAAAAGAGAGTGTTTGATCCAAACTCAAAAATCAAAGTTCACAAAATGTGTTTTTGAATATATCATCGTGAAGAGGAAGACTAGAGGAATCCATTGGTGAAAACCCGGTGAAAAATCGATGTCCTGCATGCCTGAACGCGCCTCCACCTGCACTGCCTACGCGCACCGAAGCGCCTCAAGCTCTCCATGCATCTTCCTCGCCCGTTTTTTGCCTCACGCTCTCCACGCATCTTCCTCGCTCATTTTCTGCAAATTGAACCGGGTTGACCAGACACATCAGCAGCCACGCATGCAGTTCTGCATAGTCAGTAGCCACGTCACCTGCTACATCATCTGACACGTCATCTCTGCCACATCATAATTGTGGGGCTCACATATCGTACATGTCAGACACGTCAGCATTCTAGGTTTTGATTCAGTGTGGCGCAGAGACTATTCCTCCTGACACGTGGCTTTAACTGCAGTGTCCAGTGATCCAAAAGTTTGGTTGATTAAATCTGAGTCATCCGAAGTTCGATTTGGGTGATCTTAGTGTCGTTTCCAACATTTTTGGCCATTCCAAACACATTCGTAAGGTCAGATTTTATAGATTCAAATCCGAGAAAGATTAAAAATGGCAGATGAAATAAAGGCCACGGGAATTGAAAATTTTGATGGAACTGATTTTGAATATTGGAAAATTCAAATTGAAGACTATCTATGTCATAACCTAATTTTGGGTTATTCCCCAAAATTCATTTTTTCCTTTTCAAAATAAAAATAAAAAATAAAATAAAGGCTGGCAATGTGGAGAAAGTTGATCTAGGGGCATTATCCGGCTATCCTTATCAAGAAAAGTTGCTCATAATGTTACAGAAGAGAAATCCACAGCAAGATTGATGGAAGCC